TATTTACATGACTTCAAGCGCTTGTTTGCTTCACGCAGAGTTTGAATAATGTGTTTTTTAAATGCTGTTTAACAAAAAAAAAATTTAGTGAAAAGAATGAATTCAATTCCTACGGAAAATTTGTCATAAATTTCTAGATATATATTGGAATGGATCGTAAGACTATAACGAGGTATCGATTAATCTTTTAAAGACAAAACTGTAAAACAAATAATAAAAAGAACCATGACAGCGATATACATCGGCACAGTGAAAACTGAAAGTGATCACACAGACGGTGGAGATACTCAGAGACCACGGAATGACCTTGGCGCTGAAATCACTGAAGGCACTTTGGAAAGTAACATGGGAGGCAGTAGAAGAGACGGAGACAGGTTCAGAGACGCAAGTTGTAGACAAATGACAGGGCCTAGGGTGGTAGGGAAATCTGGTGATCAAGACACATCGACAAAACGGAACAAGCGAGCCGAATCACTTAGCCCCAGAGGGTTGAGGACTTCCATTGGAGATCCTTACAAGGGTAGAGTGGGGTTGTTGGGTGAGAATGATTATGAATATGGCGTCTCCTCTACAGATTATGATGAGACTCTAACGAATTTCAAACATTTCCTGGAAGATTTTAAACTAAAGCTAAACGACCAGTTGAGAGTTCTCCATTCAACAAGAGAGCCAGTTGGTCGTGATGAGCTCATTTCCAAGGAATATGACGAGGAGAGTGTCAGCATTACCGCAGATGGGTTGGAATATGATAGCACCAAAAATTCTAATAAGGCACCCGTCCCTACACTTAAGTTTGTTTCCGTGAAACCAGGAGCTGGAAAGGTCAAGGACTCGTTAAACATACGGACTGACGGTGTAAATACAAGACTGAGAAGTGCAGTGGTCCGTGTGCGGAACGAGAAGTTGAACATTGCACAGACTTATGTTGAGAAAAATATTACTGAACCAAATGTAGATGAACAAAATGAGGTCAAACAGCCAGTCAACGATGATTTGAATGGGGTGAAACCAAATCAAGAAATGGACCACCGGGACATTCATCGAGGTTCTGAAAAACGGCATCCTGGAAGTAACGGAATGGAGCAGCCGATCCATGACGCAGATGGGAGACACGACATACGGTCTAGTAGTTTTGATCTAAGGGGGTTCCCGATCCTTGGACCATTGGTGAATATAAACGAAGAATTCAATGCTGCAACAGCTGACTACATCGAGTCAAACAGAGACGCTCGAACGCCTGGAGAAGATGACACGAAGCAAGGCAGTGGCGCAAATGATGACACACTTGCAGAATGTGGGGTAAAGGAATATACTAGGGATGAACAACTGCAACCGAGCGATCAACGAGGCATTGGAAATATATCTTTAGGTGTGAGTAGAGCACATAGGGAAGGAACTGGCGAGGAAATTTCAGAACAGATACAAGACGTTTACTGGAAGGAACACGAAAACACTCAAGCACCGAATGGAGACCTAATGTCATTGGTTAAAGATGTTATTTGCCTGAAACAACGCGGCAATTCGGATGATTCGTTTCCCGAAAAGGAAAAGACTAAAGAGGGTGTGAAACTTTATAAAATTGAGCAAGATTGTAATTCGCCTCATCCTAATGCAGTTGATAACACCGAGACTGGTCAGTCGGTGAAAGATAGTTTTGACCAAGGCGGAGGCAATGATCGCCCGACACCAGAAGCTAATCAGGTCGTTAACGTAAACGAAAATCCCGTCGATCTGAGCCCCATGCAATCTTATCTTGATGACGCCCACCTTAACGAACCTAAACGGTCTTCATTGATTGCTGGTGACCAGATTATGAGCAAAAAACCTTCAGAGATTGCTGGTGACCAGATTATGTACAAATCATTTTCAGAGATAGCTGGTGACCATATAATGAACAAACCATCTTCAGAGATTGCTGGTGACCAGATAATGAACAAACCGTCTTCAGAGATTGCTGGTGACCAGCTAATGAACAAACCGTCTTCAGAGATTGCCGGTGACCAGCTAATGAACAAACCGTCTTCAGAGATTGCTGGTGACCAGCTAATGAACAAACCATCTTCAGAGGTTGCTGGTGACCAGCTAATGAACAAACCATTTTCAGAGGTTGCTGGTGACCAGCTAATGAACAAACCGTCTTCAGAGGTTGCTGGTGAGCAGCTAATGAACAAACCATCTTCAGAGGTCGCTGGTGACCAGCTAATGAACAAACCGTCTTCAGAGGTTGCTGGTGACCAGCTAATGAACAAACCATTTTCAGAGATTGCTGGTGTCCAGCTAATGAGCAAACCGTCTTCAGAAGTTGCTGGTGACCAGCTAATGAGCAAACCGTCTTCAGAGATTGCTGGTGACCAGCTAATGAACAAACCATCTTCAGAGATTGCTGGTGACCAGCTAATGAACAAACCTCCCGATGGGTTGCATGTTGATTCCACATCGCATGTTGGAGGCAGCAAGGATGTGAAAGAATGTTCATTGAGTGAACGGAGCGGCTCTGTGGGAGCCGCGTCTCGTATTCATGGTCCAGGTACAGGTGGAGATGACCTTAGACCTCTAGCTCTTAATGCACTGGTCGGCAAGAGCCATAACGTGAAAAGTTACACATCCGTGAGCGAGGACGCAGCTCTGTTTCAACACAACGAGAGTGAATCAGAGGGCGGGCGGGACGAGGATAACAATGTGTCTGGATTGGGAAGCTGTGAAGAGCGAAGTGATGACGACGTTTTGAACGACAGGTCCAAGAGCACGGTTGTAGAACAGGGACCAAAAGAAACCTCTAGGTTAAGAATAGGGTTAAGGGCTTATGTGGACACAATACGAGATCCCCTGATATTTCCCCACGAACTTGGGGACGGCTCAAACTTGCTTTACGCCGCCAGCAAGCCCGCAGATCCAAGTGCCATCCAGCAGGACGTCGCTGATAAACTGGTTGAGTTGTCTGTTGGCGAGTCTGCTGCGCGTGCTGATGAAAACGTTGGCCCCGAGGAGACAAACGGCTCTTTGGAAAATTCAGAAAATCCGTCCGCAAATGGTTTGTTGTCGCATCCATTAAGTGATAATTCTGTCGAAGATGAAGCAGTTTCGATCAGTGGTGAGCATAGTAAAAGTGGTGATGTTGTCATGGTTACCGAAAACATCCCGAGGGACAACGAGAAGGTAACCTTTAATCCCGATTAATTTAGTTTGTTGTTTTTTTTTTTGGTGGGGGGGGGGGGGTTTAAGGGGGAATAATTATGGGACGTTTTTATAAAATTATTTGATCCATGTTAAATTAATTTTTTCTCCACATAAGTTTCTACAAGGATTGATGGATATTGACCGAACTTCTGCAAACGTACCCTTCGTTATTCCGAATGATATAATGGGGATTTTTGCTACCTTTACAAAATAATCATTGAGTGTTCGGAGGCCCCTAAAACCGTTTTATTCTAAGATGCGCTATATAAATAAAAGATCTAGACCGGGGTGGGCAAACTTTTTGCGCTGAGGGGCACATTGATACATGTAAAGCTACTTGGGTGGGGGGGGGGGGCGCATACATATTATGTCCAATTTTTCCATGTCGATAAACCGCTCTCTATATTAAAATCGGTAAATTCGCGTTTTAGCATTACATGAAAAAAGTCAAGGTCAGTTTAAAAAAAAAAAGAAAATGAGAAAGTTGATAAAAAAAATGTTAGAAAAATCATATCAGTACATTATGTCTGGAAAATTTATCAAAATAACTTTAAAAAAAAAAAACAAGTATTTTTTTATATTTCTAAATGCCTTCAAGGGCCGCATAATAATTAGTTTCCGGGCCGTAGTTTGCCCTCCCCTGATCTAGACCCTACTTAGTACAGATATCACATATACTGTTATCCATTTTATAATACTGAAGGGAACTGAACTCCTAATTCGTTTGTGTTCCAGTAATCGGTGTGCCTGGGTATCCGTTGATTGGACAGTGTTGTGGAGTACCATCGACAAAACGTTGCCGGCAGATACTGGGAAGATGTCCGACTAGAGTAATAGAGCAACTGAACGCGTACCTGTACAGTGTACCGATTAGATCCGGGGGCCGAGGTTTGCCGCGCCCGTTGTGTTCTGAGATAACTTTAAGCGTATGTAACACACGGAACGGGATCCCACGGGGAAACCAGATCTCACCGAGGAACGGGGATCCAACAGGGCAATGGGAACCCTTTGGGATCCCTCTTTTATTTTCAATCGAATTGATGGATACCTTTTTAATACTTGAGGTACTTTAAAAAGTTTGACTAGACTTAAACAAAATTGTCTATACCAGGTCCAGCTGGAATACCAAATAAAACGGGAGGTTCCTCAAATGTTTACATAACTTATCATAAATGTGTTGTTTTTTTAAAATAGGATATTTCTTTTCTTTCTTTAATTAATGTGTTAACAGCTCAGCAAGTATGTCTCTCGACGTAGCACATGAGGTAAATCTCTTTGACTAATATTTCAACGGACTCGATAAAAATGCTTAATTTTTCCCCATCGGAATTTATTTGTATAATTTTACATGTGTGTATTTACAAAAGTGGGCTGGCATAAATATAAAAAAATAAAAGTGCTATAATTAGCTACTGATTTTACAACACCGCAATCCTACAAGTATATCCAGTTGTTTCATTTAATTTGGGAATTGTGATTTACAATGTAAAACTGTGTGCTTCTGTCTAATAGTACTATTCGTAATCAGTACTCGGCATTCTCAGTTTAAATACGTTCGCGTCAGATTCTGTGCGCAGGTATGCATTTATAAATATTAATCCACAACATTTTCGTAACTTCTAACGTATACATGAGCATATGATAAGTGCATCCGCAAATGCTTTAAAGTATATATATTATTTTTATTTTTATTTGTGATTCTTTATTGATTTATTAAAATATTCTAATCAAATATTTTTTAATCAAAGGATTATTTTTTAAGGGTAATAGTGATGGGGTTTGGAAGACTAATTATTGAAACTAAATATAGTTCTTAATTGTCACACAGGCACAGATCCAGGACAGGGCAGAGCAGAATAGGAGGAGACCAGATACCAAAATGCAGTTTCACGGAAGTCCGGCTTACAACACCGATCCCGGACGCCTGGATTCACAGCCCCACCAGCCTGGTGTACAGCAGTGGTCAACCCACCAAGACCCGCAGCCCCACCAGCCTGGTGTACAGCAGTGGTCGTCGACCCAACCCAGATACGAGCCTTACAACGTCACCGGTCAGTACGACGGCGGGGGGACCGGTGGAGGCGGGTATCACGAGAACACGGTGGTGCACCCCGGCCATCAGGCGGGGGCGTATTCCACGAACTCCGCAGCCCAGCCCACTCACCCTGCACGGACATACCCTACAAACCACACTGGTCAAGTAGGGAACCAACAAGCTGGGACGTACCAGACATACCCATCTGGACATACGCCTAACCAAGCAGGGGCGTACCCTACAAACGCTGTTGGACACTCCTCCCATAACGGGGTGTATCCAACAAACACTGCGAATTCTGAGCCTTATCAAACCAGTAGTGTCGTGTATCCAACAAAGACATCGGCGTATCCGAACAGCTACGCCAGTCCCCCCTCACACGCAGACCCCCGTCCTTACTCGGATGAGCAAACGTACTACGACCCACGAGTCAACGATGACGTATTCAACGCATCGACGTACATCGGCGGCACCGACCCCACCAGTAGAGATCCTTACGCGGGATACCCCACATCGAACTCGCCTTCCAGGCGGAGAAAGTTCGGCCGAGATCACACCAACTACACCTTACCCCCAAACCTTGACCCATTTAAAAACACTCCATTGCCCAACAGCGCGCTGGACGGCACCCCGCTCATTGACACCCTCAACCACGTGGGGCCCCCGGGGCTTCCTCTGTCGTCGGACGGTTTCAACGGGTACGACTCCGAGACGGGGCTGAAGCTAGTCGTCGTGGACAAGACCGACGATGAGGACGAAAACGTCGATCCGGGTCAACCGGGTTACGGGTCGAGGTCGAACTCGGACGTGTTCCCCATCGACAAGAACGCCATCGAGAGGGACCTGTACAAGCAGGAGTACGACCCCACGGTCACCAGCTTCAAGCCGAACATGAACCCCAGCATTAACACCGTGAGCCGTCACGTGTCCACGGTCAACGACCCCGGGGTCAACCCGGACGGCTTCAAATACCAAAACAGCTCGAGCGCCGGTCAGACATTCGCGTTTCACGTCACCGACTACGATTCGGAAATCGAAAACAGTGCCAGGCGAACGGGGACCGGCATGCTGCGGGAACCTTTTACCAACAACCAGCATTTCTTTTCAGGGAAGCCGAAACTCGGCACGATATCCAGCCAGTCGCAGTACCCGAAGCCGAAGTCCAGGGCGTTTCAGAGCCCGGATCTTGAGGATGATATCGAGTTGCAGCAGTATTACACCATGTCTCATATCGATTACGAGCGGTACACCAGTAACCAATCGCAGCTCAGCACGGTCATGGAGGACACGAGCGGGCTCGACACCTTCCGGTCCGAGGACACCGTCAACAACTACGACGTGTTCAAAGGGGAGAAGAGCAAGACGTTCCTCATCCACCCGTCGGCCACGGTCTCCCGGCACAACATCAACGAGGCCCGGGCCACGGACAACGCGGTCCTGGGACCCGGCTACAAGTTCCAAGTGAATAAGTATAACATGGTCAAGCGCGCGTCCATACTCAACAGGGCGGAGCAGTTGCTTGACGCCAGGCGTGGTCACTTCAACGACAGGTAAATACTTGATTTAAAAATGGTCTGTTAACAATAAGCCCAATTTTAAAGCGAAATTTATCTCAGATTTAAGACACATTTTGAGTGGATATTTTTTTATATTACAACGTTTTCTTTAGTTACATAAATAACATGAAACAAAGAATGTCAAAGTTAGTTTACCAGGGCAAGATTTGGTGTTTCCAGTAGAAGCAGCAATCATCTCAATGTGGACCAAGAGTCTAATATGGTATACTTTGTTACGAATCTCCTGGCACCGGCTTTCTCTATGAAATAAGTCGAATCATCATGAGTCATATAACACGCGTAGAACTATTTTTAATTTTTTTTTTTAAAGCAGCGGTTCTCAACATGTGGTTCGCGACCCCTTTGGGTGATTCCACTGAGTTTGTGGAAAATTGTTGTATGTTAAATTTCTGAAAATGAAACAGGCTATTGGTATAATATTTTCCAGTTGTACAATAGTTTTTCAGTTGTATTAGCCTAAGGATTTGAGATTATTTTGTGTGTGTGTAGATTCACACATCTTTATGCTATTTTACAGTTTTACTTAAATATTACTATGTAATTAGGTAATTTCTTTAATGAGTTAACAAATTTGTGTTTTTGAACAGACTAAATTTAATTATATATATAGTACAATTAAGTATTTTATACTGTAAGTTAAATGTATACTGTTTGGCGTGCTGTTAAAAATCAAACTATGTACTCTTTATACGTTATAATATAAAAAGTATTGGAGTACCTTTGTTTAAATTTACCCCCCCCCCCAACCACGACGGTCCACAGCAGGTCAGAGTCGAGCGACGAGGTCAGACGTCTGGCCGAAGATGAGGACGACGACAGCGTCAGCGACATGGCCGGTGCCAGGCACGCTGCCCTGAAGCACGTCAAGCAGCGCCAGTTCGACGACTCCACCAGCTACAACAGTAGCGATGACGTCATCAACACCCTAAAGTGAGTCCCGCGGAGCGGTGTTGGGTGGCAGACGGCCCTGGGTTGGCAGGAATGGGTTGGGGTGGAGGGGACGTTTGAAAACCTCCACCAAATGGAGGGCCATACTCTATTTAATTTTTTTTTTTTTTGAAACGGTGTAATTAAACAAGGTGCCGTTTCTCTAGGAAACGAACGAAGAGAAACGCCACGGAGTTCTTATTATACTGTTTAAAAAAAATTATTGAATTTTTGTTTTTCAAAACAGTATGATTACAAATCCGTGGCGTTTCACTTGGAAACAAAGAACTGGGTATTAAATTAATATATTAATATAAAATAAAAGGTTCAGTAGTATTATTCATAAAAAATGTACCCAGTACTATTACATATTATGTTGGAATATATATTTTTTAAAAATGTTTTCTGGATCTCCTGGTAAAATTAAAAGACACTTTAGAACAAACAAAAAAAATTCTCCACATTTTTAATTATACCCATGGAGATTTATAAGGAAAATAACGGTTGTACATGACAGAACAATTTGCTGGTCTTGGAGGGAGAAATTCGTGAATTGAAGTTAAAAGCCAGTGAAGACATAACATCCCTTACAATCAAACAGCATTTGTGGCAATGTTTGGCATGGGGGGCCTCAATTGCCCCCCAAGAGTCCGATGTACCACGGTGCCCTGAGTTCTCATAGTGATAAATAAAAAAATAAACGTCAAAGAGTCCATAAAGCGGATGTTAACCCTGATTGGTCAGGATGTAATCTCTAACCACACCGGTGTTATGTCATGAGCAAGTTTTACCTGGTTTCCCGGTGATATGAAAGTGTGTGGTATAGCGATAAGATTCGGGGAATTGTACGGCAATCTTTACCAAGGTATTTGATAACCCAGAGATCTGTGAACATAAAAATGATGACTTGCAAAGCAGAACACGTGGTGTGGGGGCTGGGAAGCTGGGCGCAATGTAACCAAACTTCATACAATTATTATTTTATTGTAGATTCTTAATAGTTATGAAATAACCCGATAATCATTGACAATAACATTTGTTTTAAGAGGTATTTTTTTTTTTACAGCCACACTCCTTCTTGAAAAGTAAAGAATTTTGTAAGAAGTTCAAGTGATGATTGTTGTAACGAAGGCAGAAAATGGCATTAAGATTTGGGGGGAAAAAAGATGATAATTAGCTGTTGTAAACTTTAATAATAGATCTATATTTAAAATCATAGGAGTTTTTTGGAACACATTTTTATCATCCAATTATAGTGAGTTCTTTGTTTTCAGTTTGCAAACAGAGTGACCATTGAAGTCACACAAGTTAGTTTTTCTAATCACGATCTCCACACGTTTTCAGGAGTATTCTGACATTTGTAAAGCTTTTTTAACCGTACATTAAGACTGCCGATCAAATTGACTGTTTCTAGTCTTCACTTTTACATCACACTCTGCCGTATTTCAGGTACCACCCGCGGGGACCAGTGACACAGACCGCCAGGCGCGCAAGGCTAACGTCCGTCAATGCAAGGCTCAACAAACAGAAGCGGATCAGAGCGGCCAGGAGACAGGTACGTGGGTGTCCATTTGGTTTATGTGACCTACGGGCACATCTAACCATAGAAACACACGTGAACCTAGAAACACACCTGACCCTAGAAACACACGTGACCCTAGAAACACACGGTCCTCTTGAAACACATGTGACCTAACGAATACAATTGACCTTAGGAACACACATGACCTTACAACCACATGTGACCTGACTGACAAACGCCAGTTTTCGAAAACAATTGACCTTAAGAACACCGGTGGCCTTCTAACCACACGTGAACATACAAACTCACGGGACGTGCAGCCATTAGCATGAAAAACAAACACGCTTGGCTTTACAACCACAAAAATGAAACCATGCTCTGGAGAGAAGATCCACTTTATTTTGATGGCTTTCATCTAAGCATGATATAAGCTAAAGGCACCATTTCCAAAAAATGACATGAGTACAACAACAAAAAATAAAAATAAAAATGTTTTAACGTTATTTAAATATCCATACATATTTAATTCCCTGATTATAATCCACGAATCACCACATGGGGTAAGTTTGTAGCATAAGCTGGTTTTTTTTACCCAAGTGACTCTTTCGCTTAGTTGATCGTCTGTCTCATGGTCACCTGAAAGGTCGCATCTGATTTGTGTCAAAGTCGCGTCTGCTTCTTTCAGTGAACAGCGGGTTAAGGGTGGATGTGTGATATCACATAAAGGTTGTAAGCATTGTAAGAATTTAAAAAAAAAAATACTTTTTTTGTCGATAATACATAGTAAGAATTAAATACGGAAGAAAAAAGCCCCAAAAGTACATATGAAATAGACTTGTTCAAAAGAATTTCTGTCAAAGACCAGTTTTTAGCCCCTAAAAAGAAGAATCTTAAAATGCATTACGTAAAGAATGTCTGTGCAGAAAATATGTTCTAAAATTAATAATTTAAAAAAAAAACAAAAAAACATTTCAGTTTCGTCTGGATTCCATTCGAATCCTTTGGCTACACAGAGTGCTCATATACAACGTCTGCACAGACTTTTCTTGCGTTATGCATTTTAAGTATTTTAAAATTAATTTCTATTTTTTAGTGGTTCAACTCGTCTTTGATAGGAAGTCTTAATTTAGTTATAGTAATTTTGAATAAAAAAAACCATTCGACATTCTTAGGCGCTAGACTTGATTAGAGCCCGCTTGGTACCACCAGACCTGACCTCGAAATGGTTGTTCAGGTGCAGGCATGTCGGTAAATGAATGTTAATGAAAATATGATCACAGAAACATGAGAATCCACGCCATCAACGATATGATGTGGCAAAAAAACACCACATTCATGAAGGGAAGTAAGCAGAAAACGGCAAGCATAGACATGCATTATTTTATAGCTTCCCTTTTTTCCCCGACACGTTTGCTTTTCAGATATGTAAATAGCAATATGATGACACTTGGAAAGTGACCGAAAGGAAAAGATGTTTTTTGTTTTCTTTCTTCCTGATGAGTTATATTTTCAAATTCTTTTGGAGTCTTAGTGACGTGTGTGACCGTAATAATAACGTGATCACTCGCATCATTTGCACTCAGGAGAACAAAAATTAAGTTTTGAAAATATACTTTGAGTTTCGTTGGTTATTTAAATTAACACACGTTCAAGAAAATAAACAATACAAGTTCAATAATCATATTTCAAGACTACGTTAAACTTCGAGATCTTCAGTGTTCATATTTTAAGGCTACGTTAAACGCCGAGATTATCAGTTTTACTATTTTAAAGCTACGTTAAACGTTGAGATCTTCAGTGATCATATTTCAAGACTGCGTTAAGGCAAAAATCTCCAGTGCACATAATTCAAGACCAAGTTAGCCGACGACATCTTCAGTGTGCATATTTCAAGGCTAGGTTAAACGCCGACATCTTCAGTGTTCATATTTCAAGACTACGTTAAACGCCGACATCTTTAGTGTTAATATTTCAAAGCTAGGTTAAACGCCGACATCTTCAGTGTTCATATTTCAAGGCTACCTTAAACTTGGAGATCTCAAGTGTTCATATTTCAAGGCTACGTGAAATTTCGAGATATATTTTACAGATTTGCTGAGATTTTCGAGATTACATGATCAATATTGAAAGTACTTCCAAAATCGTATAAAATTCTATTGAGACGAAAGCATTTTCGTTTAATGCAGTGGCTCTCAACCATACCAATAACGCGACCCTTTTATACAGTTCGTTATGTTGTGGCGACCCCCAGCCACAAATTATTTTCGTTGCTTCTTCATAACTGTAGAGCATATGGGTTTTCAGATGGTCTTAGGCGACCCCTGGGAAAGGGCCGTGCGACCTCTAAAGGGGTCCCGACCCACAGGTTGAGAACCGCTGGTTTAATGCATGAGCTTTTAATGATGAACATCATTTGGCCATATCCGTTATGGGTGGGGTCGATCCATTTGTTGAGTGAAGCACTGTTTGATGAACAATTAACAGTAGTTTCTTTTCATTATAGAAGCGTTTAATGCATTGGTTCTCAACCTTCCTCATGCCGCGACCCTTTAATACAGTTCATCATGTTCTGGCGACCCTCAACATCAAAATTATTTGCGTTGCTACTTTATTACGGTAGAGTGTATTTTCCAATGGTCTTAGGCGACCCCCGAGAAAGGATCGTTCGACCTCCAAAGGGATCGCGACCCACAGGTTGAGAACCATTGTGCTAGAAGAAACCGTATCAATCAATCCAGCTCGACACCAGCAGGGCTAGAAGTTCTAAGACCAGGTTAATTATTGATACGTAGAGACTTCCATCCTCCACCAAATAGTCGGAAGCCATTGACTGATCATAGCCGCATCCTTACGGAATCGTGGCACCAGAAAGGAAGCCCGTTGGTTGAATAATTAAGTTAATAGAGGAAGATGCCCGGATGTGGAGAGCAAATCGATGTTACCTTAGGGGATTTAACATCATTTGGCCGTATCCGTTATGGGTGGGGTCGATTCATTTGTTGAGTGAAGAGCACTGTTTGATGTCACAATTAACAGTAGTTTCTTTTCATTATAGAAGCGTTCATTAACTAAATGTAGAGTTTTCTTTCATTAATAGCCAATGGGTCATTTCGATTAAGAAATCTCTTGTAGTTGGACAGTTACTTCGATGATGAAATTATTTTTTTTTAAAAATTAAGTACCGACAAACGTTAGTCCTGGGTCCGTTGCTATGGACGCATGGAAAACAGGTTCTGAAATACGGACCATTTCTGATACTCGCGCGCTGTTAAGTGAGCCTTATAAATATGTCATATCTTGAAACATGACATGGAGGAAGAAGACATTCTAAATATTGAAGGTAAAAGTGAAGTTGACATTCTAAATATTGAAGGCAATAGTGAAGCGGGTGCAAGTTTCAATGGAAGTTTTCCACTCGGACCTGGGGATCAGAGAGCACACGAAGTTTCTTATGAAGACAGAACTCGGGACTCGCACGTGGGTTTCAGAAAGGAACATCTTCAAGTCAGTCGCCAGAATCCGAGCAAGGGAAGAACGTTTCGACGAATTCGTCAAAAAATGGCTGTGATCGATTCAGGGGTCAAAGGTGAAATTCCTGGAGTCGCCGCAGACCGCTCCGACAGGTTTTCGACCAGCGTCACCAACGACATTAGGACTCCGCGTTGTGAGACCAGAGAGACTCACCTCAGTGGTTTAAGCTCGGTGGTCGTAAGGATTAAGAAACACAAGAAAACGAAGGATCCCGACACAGAGGAGGTGAGGAACCCCCTTTTAAATAGTTTTGTAATAGAGGGGTTGGTTGTGGTAATCTAATGGTTGGTTGTGATGTTTAGAATTGTTTGTGACAGTGCGATGGATGTTAAAGGTAACATGTTTTTATGTGTGGTAATAGAGTGGTTGTTAGTTTTAATTGGATGGTTTGTTAGTTTTAATTGGAGGGGTTGTTAGTGGTAGAACAGGGGTTGTTAGTTGTAATCAAGGGGTTGTTGTTTGTGGTAATGTAGTGGTTTGTTTTTTTGTTGTAATAAAAGGTTGCTTGTGCTAATGGATGGTTGGTTGTTTTTTTTTGGTAATGCATGATTGTTTGTGGTAATTCAGGTTTGGTTAAGGTAACGTTATAGCCGTTGTTTTTGGTAATGCTGGTGACGTTTAAGCTATTGTTTGGTTGTTTGGGGTAATGCAGGAGTTTTTTTTCTTTTTACAATGTAGCGGTTGTTTGTATTAATGCAGGGTTGTGTGTGGTAATGTAGGGGTTGTTTGTATTAATGCAGGGTTGTGTGTGGTAATGTAGCGGTTGTTTGTATTAATGTAGGGTTGTGTGTGGTAATGTAGGGGTTGTTTGTATTAATGCAGGGTTGTGTGTGCTTTGTATTAATGCAGGGTTGTGTGTGGTAATGTAGGGGTTGTTTGTATTAATGCAGGGTTATGTGTGCTAATGTAGCGGTTGTTTGTGGAAATGTGCGTTTGCGTTTGGTAAAGTTTTTTTTTTGTTTGTGGCAATGTAAGGGCTATTTTTGGTAATGCAGCGTTGTTTGTGGCAACGCAGGGTTGTTAAAATAATGTAGTGGATGTTTGTGGTAAATAAGGATTGGCTCTGGAAATGCACGGTTGTTTGTGGTAATTAAGGGTTGGCTCTGGAAATGCACGGTTGTTTGTGGTAAATAAGGGTTGGCTCTGGAAATGCACGGTTGTTTGTGGTAAATAAGGGTTGGCTCTGGAAATGCACGGTTGTTTGTGGTAAATAAGGGTTGGCTCTGGAAATGCACGGTTGTTTGTGTTAAATAAGGGTTGGCTCTGGAAATGCACGGTTGTTTGTGTTAAATAAGGGTTGGCTCTGGAAATGCACGGTTGTTTGTGTTAATGCAGTTGTCTTTTGGGGGGGTTTTGTTTTTGTTTGTAATGCAAGAGTTGGTTTTCAGTAAACAGTGAGTTCTGTGATTGATAGAGGCATGGAGCATTCAATTTGTTTAATTTACATGTGCATCATGTTTATAGGCATGAGTTTTAACTTTAGTATGACATGATTACAGACATGAGTAGAAATTAAAATTTTAGAATAATCGTTGATTTCGTATTCACCCAAATTTGTTAAAACACGGCCTAATATAGCATAATCTCATGCGCTCCCACCAGAGACTGAATCCATCACACTAAGTTAAATCTTTAATTATTTATGTACTGTACAGATCTGTAAGATCTGTAAGTAAGACCATTCAATCGTCAGAGTAAAAATATTTAATCGCAACAAAATGTATGCACATCTGTTATGAGGATCCAAATGTGGTTCAACCGAGAGCTATGGCGTCCACCGAGTATCCACCCCGTCCCTCCCCCATCTTTTTTTTTGCTTTGATATTGACGTCACCGATTAAATGTGTAGCGTCCTAACACTACCCACCCCTTTCTTGAATAGGAAATAGTTGGTTACCTTTGAAAATGTCATAAATGGAGTCCAACACCCGACAGCCTTCTCTACATTTCTAGAATTGCTGTTCTGTTTTTATTTTCATTTCTTTTTATTATAACTTTTTTTTTTTTTTTTTTTTTTTTTTTTTTTTTTTTTTTTTTTTTTTTTTTTTTTTTTTTTTTTTTTTTTTTTTTTTTTGGGGGGGGGGGGGGTCTTAATGCCTTCCTATAAATTTGGCGGTAGCTTTCCCAGTCCGACTAAATTTGCTTGACTTCCTAGACAAGAGACTTTAACGAGACTCACCAGAGATACAAGAGACCTTACAACTTTTCATCTGTGTGTATCTGAATTAATATTTGTACCTTTCTAGTAATATACTTGATCACTTGCTGTACAATTGATACAAAGAAAGTGATTTTTAAATTACATTGTTCATACTCATTTTCTTCACATAAATAAACACAAATTTTAATCAATACGACATTTTACAATGATAACAATTTAACGACAAGACATCTGGATTACTTCTTTAGGATACAAATCAGCCATCAATGCGCTTCTCCAGTGACAATAATGACTTAATTTGTGATCATTTAGATTTATGACACTATTAAGAACTTCATGTTTTTAAAAATAACTTTCTTGAATTCTAATTTTAAAAAAAACAAAAACAACGTTGCTTTGTCACTTGTTGTCACTTATTGTCATTTATTGTCACTTATTTTTCAACTATTGTCTATCTTTTAGAATATCCCGCTATCCCACGCCAGCGACGACGATGTCAACTCACCGCTAAGTGACGCCAACGACCAGCCCAACGTGTACAGGAAAGTTCTGAGGGACAAGATCCGCTACGAGCAGGCGAAATTTCGGGAGACAGGCGTCGAGAGCCGCAACCGCCGTCAGCTTCAGATACAACCTCAGCACCAGGAGGAGCAGTCGCAGGAGGAGGGAACCAGTGCAATAAAGGGGAGGAGGGTCTTCATGTTTAGGAACGGCGACCTTCATTTTAAACCCAAACAGGTGACGTCACATCACATGTAAGGGGGGTTTGTCCTTTCTATGAATGGAAAGCGTCTCATCGCATGACATAATGTTACTATTTTTAGAAAATGTATTCGTAAAACATAGCTTCAGTGTATTTCCGCAGTGACAATTTGTAATATAAAGTTGTAAATACGTTTTCGTCTTGGTTAAGATCCACTTTGCTGGCTCACATTGACGTAGAAGTACCAAAGAGCTGTTGGGAGATTGCCAAAACGGAATACCAAGGTGTTTTATTAACTTCTTAATGAGATTTGCCAGACTGTCTGCCCGGATGTTCTATTAATAGATTTCCGCCATTAAATGACAAACCCTATTGCATAAATATTTGTTTTTTCTGCGCTACAACAAACGAGACGCAATAACTCATTAAACTTTAGTTTTAATAATGAGATACGCGTGTGTTCAAAATTAATCGATCAAAGTTTTGGGGGTAAAAGTGGGAACAAGATGTGAGGCTAGGGATGAAGACGATGATGATAATGATGATTGATTGGTTACTTATATAGCGCTTGTGTTCATGCTATGTTAGCATGCTCAATTGCGCTCTGGTCTCATAAAGTCTATTTAAAGAAAAATGAATTTAAAAGTCTCCTAAATGATTTTTATCATTTTTAAAAGTCCCCCAAAGACTGAGGCAAACAGTCCCATAATTAAGGCGCTATTGCTTCCAAAATGCGCACTTCGTTTGACTTCTTTGGGATCCCTGTCCGTCACTGTTGGAAAATAATAGCAGTTATTATTGTAAAGAATAGATGAAAGGAAAAAGAGCGCCCTTAAAAAAAGAGGGATCAAAAGTAATACAGGACAGAGGTTACATAAAAGTACAAGATGTCGCCAAAACGACAAATTTTGGCCGCCATGAGCGCAGTGGACATGTAACTAGGAGAAAGAATAATGACAAGGCATTTTTAAAATAAATCGAAATCAAAATAATAAAATGGGGGTTCAAAAAATGTCAAAACAAAAAGAAAGGTAGGCAATAAATAATACATCGTTTGGAAACGTGTCCGTGAGAAACTTAATAATGCTTTGTGTCAAGCCTTTGCGGAAAATCTTGGCATTTAGTTTGTCATTTGCAGCCCCGGGCTCTTGTCGTCATGTCGGTCAATGACATGTTTGATAAAGAGGCGCTCGCCACGAACCCCCTGAAGCGTCACCCGGGGAACAGTACCACCGTGTAGGGGACCCGCGCTGAAAGGCAAAGGTAACGCACGGAGACTGCGTTAAATCGAGCACGATTGCATGACTTCCCACCAAGTGCAGTCGAACTATTTTACTAAACGCAGAAACAGGTTGGGACATGATTACAGTTGCCGTATGGATATGAGGTGAAGGTGTGTGGCAACCTTTCACCGGTGATTCTAAATATGCAGTCTTGAGGGTACTGCTCCAAGGCAACCTCTCTCTCCCATCTACGGTGTGAATTAGTCGCGCCGTAGAATAACCATACAAACCCTAGTAGAGGGCGTCGGTCTTAAACAACTACGCGGTCCCCCCGGGGTGGTAAGGGGGGACTTTAGAGACGTTAAATATCCACCCCAACCCCCTAGAAAGCCCGGCCCTGTTGCTGCGCGAGTAGCAATCCGGCTGGCCAGGTGTTTCTTCTCTGGGGCTGCCACGCTCAGCGGCCAATCGAGTGGAGGTCGGGCGTGGCGGTCTTAGGGGCGGAGCGTCCCTGGCGTGCCGCTTCGCGGCCGATCGGAATAAAGACCACTGGGGGAGTGGTTGACGACCGGTTTGGTTGGCGGGGTTGTACGTTGGGGAGGACCATATGAGCCTCAAGGCTCGGTGTTCGCTGATTTTCTTAAGTAAGTAAGTAAGTTTGTCATTTGCCAATAAATGTAATACTAAATTCACCATTTTCCTCCCCTAACTAGATCCTCATCAGCCAGAAGACCTACACTAACCTGGAGAAGCTTCTGGTTGATCTCAGCTCTATGGTGGAGACCTCGACTGGGGTGAAGTACATCTTTTCTTGGCCCGAGGGTCGGGAGATCAAGTCCATCACGGAGTTTGAGAACGGCAAATATTATGTTTGTTCCAGTACCAGCAAGCTACAGGTCAGTAAATATTGTGTTTGTTCCAGTACCAGCAAGCTACAGGTCAGTAAATATTGTATTTGTTCCAATACCAGCAAGCTACAGGTCAGTAAATATTGTGTTTGTTCCACTACCAGCAAGCTACAGGTCAGTAAATATTGTGTTTGTTCCACTACCAGCAAGCTACAGGTCAGTATATATTGTGTTTATTCCACTACCAGCAAGCTGCAGGTCAGTAAATATTATGTTTGTTCCAGTAAATATTATGTTTGTTCCAGTACCAGCAAGCTACATGTCAGTATTCGACAGCACATTTTTTTAATGTGTTGACACCATCATAGAAGTTATGTTTGTGATATTTTAGTGAAATCATCAAGAATATTGCATTATCGCTGGCATCAGCAAACTAATGCAACAACAAAAATAATAGTAACTACAGTAATAATAATGATATAGTACGCTGTGTAAATGTAAGGCTTTGCACTATTATCATCGTTTATAAATATGTAATGATTTTTTATTAAGATTAATACAATTAAAAATTTCGTTTCATGAAAGTAATAGTGACTAATTTGTTGTAATGAAGTACCGTATATCTAAATAACAAACACAAGATAAGAGGCGTATATATTTTGTAGATAAACCTGTGGCATTTAAATTAGTTCAGCACCTAAGGCTGTGGTCATCATCCACGACTATAGAGAAAGGATCTATATTTACTGCAAGGCAGTAGAAGAAATGAACCGTTGTCAAGTGACAATAGATTTTTTTTAAAATTCGTCCCATCTTTGTGATCTCATTAATTCTATCCACCAGAGAGTTGATTACGGAAGCAGCAAAGAGGGACCGTGGAAAGGAGGCAAGATAGACAGAAAAGAGAACTTCTTATTCCAACAGGTAATCATTGAACCTTGCTGTTTTGTATTAGCAAACACTCCCTAAGCGCCCACAGAGTTCTTTTCCCTTGCCTCATTATCATGGCCTTAAGAAAAAGAAATAAATATAATTATCCTGTACTGTCAGTTTGAACGAAGGCCAAAATAAATTTAAAAATTTAAAAATTTACATTCTAGGACGAGGTAAAAGTAAATATGATTTTTAATGTAACGATAACACCACCCACTTTGGCTGGCACAAAGCCGATTCCGATTCGTAAATGTTCTTTTCCGAGAAGCGTCACCAGGTACGAGGTAATTTGTAAAGCATGCTCTAGGAATCAAGAGAAATATCGAGGAAAAAAATTGTTTGCATATCTGGATCCTTTAAAAAACCGAAGTGATTTTTTTTTCTAATGATCAGCGTAGTTTACACTTCTTGATGTATGCATTAAGGTTTGTCATTTAATGGCGTGAATCTATTAATAGAAAAACTGGTCGTAGAGTCTGGCCAGTGTCATTAAGATATTAATAAAACATCCTGGTATTCCGTTTGGCCAATCTCTCAACAGCTGTTCGGTACTTCTACGTTCATGTGAGCCAGCATCGTGGGTCTTAACCTAGACCAAAACGTGTTGACCACTTTATTTTATGACAGATTTTACCAAAAAAAATTAATTGTTACCACTGAAAACATTGTTAGAAGCTATGTTTTACGAAAACATGGTCTAAAAAAAATTAAGTAACATTACGTAATGCGATGTGACGTTTTCCGGCCTTAGAAATGACAGGCCTTATTGGATTCCACTCTATCCTGTATTCTTGACTTAATGACAGGATGGTAAGGTCCAGTCTCCACTGCGCCGACCCCGGGTGCTGACCATCATCAGCAACATGTACAGGGACAGCCGCGAGAAGCTGATACTCAACACCAACTCGCAGATGAACTTCGAGGATATTCTCAACGACATCGGTAACATGATCAACGTGCCGAATCCACCGGTCAGGGCGCTCTACACGGAGCGGGCGCCGCACCAAAAGGTATATGTCACGTCCACGTAAGGAACCCAATCAGTGCTCTGAGTGGTATGAGTTTGTTTTGAACTTAATTTCTATGGCGTGCACCAAAGATCGTGGTTTGGGAGAGTGGAGGATACATGGTATAATTGAAGACCTTTCAGAAAGTTTACAACATTCATCTTAGCTTGCTACGATTAGAAGAATAAATCATTTATTAGGACCTTATTAAAACGCCTTTTCATAGTTTGTTAGTTTGCGTTGGCGTCTTGTATTTTGATCCCCTTCCTGACCTGTAGCTGAAACTTTGTACACTTACCCACCCAATCTGGCCCTTTCAACATGGCCCTTTCAACATGGCCCTTTCAACATGGCCCTTTCAACATGGCCCTTTCAACATGGCCCTTTCAACATGGCCCTTTCAACATGGCCCTTTCAACATGGCCCTTTCAACATGGCCCTTTCAACATGGCCCTTTCAACATGGCCCTTTCAACATGGCCCTTTCAACATGACCCTTTCAACATGGCCCTTTCAACATGGCCCTTTCAACATGGCCCTTTCAACATCGCCCTTTCAACATGGCCCTTTCAACATGGCCCTTTCAACAATTACCTTGAGAAACCTCTGCGGGTCAAACCTTGCATCTCAAGTTTGACCTACTTTCTAATCTCCAAATGTGCTGAAACTTTACACACTTACCCCACCCACCCCCTTCGATGAAAATACAAGATTTCATCATTTCATGATCAGTGGGTCACCAGTGACCTCCATTGACCCTTGATTTGTCTCTCCGTATATCTCAGGAAGCAGAAAGTGAAAATGACATGGAGTTTTCACTATAATTTTCATGGGCGCCCATTGCTTTTTTAGTCATATGTTTAACCGATATTCTGATGTCCTCAAACATCTTCCAAGACTTAATAGTACAAAATAGGACGAAATAAAAAAAAAATTAAAAAAAAAAAAAAACACACCCTTCCAGACGTGTTCTAAAATGTGTAAAATAAATGTCGTCCCCCTCTCCCCCCCCCCAGAATTTTTTAGTCAAAAGACTTTAACAACTCTGAAGTTTGGTGTTTTTTTTTTGGGGGGGGGGGGAGAGATTTATTTTATACTCTGTAGTACACTTTTTGTACATAGCGTTTTCTAATGTTTTATTGAAAAATAAATAAATAGAAACTCTGGTGGCTCAAGGGTAAGAACATGGGATAAGGTGCCCCCACATCCCACTTTCCTATAACTGCCACCATTGCAAAAGAATGTTGTTTTGACCAAAAAGGGTTTTCAAATTTTAGGTGGAGAGCTACAGTCAGCTGATCAGAGAGTTCGGAGACCACGATAATTTCCTGGCTTGCGGGGAAGAAATGGTTCCTACAGAACTTTCACCGAAGAAACCGTCAGGACCTGGCAACGCAGTCAAGAAAGGAGCACGGAGAAACAGAAGATGTGAGTGATTCTTTAGTTGGTCATTTTCAATACCTCTCAGTCTTTGGCAAGGCGTGATGCATCTATGATGAATTAAAGCGCAAGACATGCACTGCAGCCAAGGATGCCTCACACTGAGAGCACGGTGGAGCTTACTGCAACACCCACCACTTAGTGCCACCATGGCAACAACCTAAATAAAAAAAAAAGTAATGGAATTATTAGGCTTTGGCCTATGTCTTTAAGGATTGTTTACAAAAAATAGTTTTTATAATTGCTCAGTTAAACAATCACCTATGGCAATGGTTCTCAACCTTTCTAATGCCGCGACCCTTTTAATACAGTTCCTCATGTTGTGGTGACCCCCTACCACAAAAATATTTTCGTTGCTACTTAATAACTTTAGAGTATATTGTTTTCCCATGGTCTTAGGCGACCCCCGTGAATGGGTCATTCGACTCCAAAGGTTGAGAACCGCTGCTCTATGGTATGATTGATCATGGTGTGCAATTAGGGTCCAATCTAGATCTTTCGTCGCTACCCTGCAGTATAGATCAGACATTGAGTGATTGAAAAAGTTATCTATATCATATGATCCTGCTTCATTCAATATCACTAGTTCACTTTTTTGGTTAATCTGAATGAAAATAACAACAAAACACATTATCTAAATGAGCTCTTATCAAGTGTATTAAATTTCAGCCGATGCTGGCCGGACAATGGACGACGACAGCCTGTCTCCGGCACGTGACTCGGACACGACCTACGTTAACGACACCGGCCAGGGCAGGTCCAACAGGAGGCAACAGGTCAAAGGCAGGAAGTCCAAGCCGGACTCGATCAAGGTTGACATCAATGGAAAAACACGAGGTACGGGTCAGAGAAAACTTCAATGCAGCCAGATGATAAGTGTATAGGGAAAGATGCGGCATTAGAAGAAAAGAAAATTATCTTCTCTGCAGCACTCCAGCAGCATCTAAAATAACATGAAACTCATGCAATATAAATGATTTGTGCACAAAACGCACGAGCGTACGCCACTAAAGAGAAATAAAATAAAGTGTGTGCCCATAATAATAATAATAATAATAATAATAAGGGGTCTTATATGGCGCGGTACCGCGCTGTTCATAAAAACCATACTTGTGGTTATACTATATGCCTTTTTCATTCTTATATATATCTACGTATGTTTGCAGTTTCCTCCAGGACTAAACACAGCTTCCTACGATTGGAGTTGTATTTTATTTTGCATTTTTCTTTAATTTGTTCGCCGAAGAAGGCTTTTTATGCCGATACGTTCATAGCGTTGTCTTATCTTTTAAAAAATATAAAAATCAAGTTTTTGCCGATACGTTCATAGCGTTGTCTTATCTTTAAAAAAAATATAAAAATCAAGTTTTTGCCGATACGTTCATAGCGTTGTCTTATCTTTTAAAAAATATAAAAATCAAGTTTTTGCCGATACGTTCATAGCGTTGTCTTATCTTTTAAAAAATATAAAAATCAAGTTTTTGCCGATACGTTCATAGCGTTGTCTTATCTTTTAAAAAATATAAAAATCAAGTTTTTGCCGATACGTTCATAGCGTTGTCTTATCTTTTAAAAAATATAAAAATCAAGTTTTTGCCGATACGTTCATAGCGTTGTCTTATCTTTAAAAAAAATATAAAAATCAAGTTTTTGCCGATACGTTCATAGCTTTGTCTTGTCTTTAAAAAAATATAACAATCAAGTTATCCCGTAACCATATCCCTTAATTCCTTCCTAGATCCACTTATTCTAGCATTTGTGTTTTTTCTCAGAATTCTTCCCCCCGACAACTTTGAACGAGGAGGACGATGGAAGGAAACCGGACAAGAAATTAAAGCTGGACTGGGTGTATCCTTGACATTGACCTCGCACATATAGCAAGGGTGTTGTTAGCTCCCTCTTTTTATTTCATCCTCATACATCATTCTTCTTGTCAAAACTGTAATTTCTTCTTATCATAACTATACTTTCGTCTTACCACAACTATACTTTCTTCTTATCATAATATACTTTATCCTCACCATAACTGTATTTTCTTCTTAAACTATACTTTTTTCTTACCATAACTATACTTTCTTCTTATCATAAATATACTTTATTCTCACCATAACTATACTCTCTTCTTATCAGAACTATACTTTCTTCTTATCATAACTATACTTTTCTTCTTATCATAACTATACTTTCTTCTATCATAACTATACTTTCTTCTTATCATAACTATAAAACTTTAGGCAAATTTTGGTATTGTGAACAAAATAATGCATGTGAAAAATGATTGCTTCTTTATGTCTACTTTAACATTGCACCGCAAAAGGCTAGAATAGTCAGGGGAATATTTATGAAAGAACAAAACACTTAAAGATGCTTCACATCCACAGTTTTTTGCCCTTTATATATTAAGTCCCAATCACAGCGCAATCATCTCCCTTTTTTACTGTATATCTCATGATATATCCAGTGTTAAATATCATGTCATACAAATGTTGTAAGATGTGCTTTTGAAAGTGGCCTTGACCTCGAGCAAGTTATGGATTCCGTGGAAGAGACGTTAAGCAGAACCTGGCCGTCCTGCCGTCCAGTGGTCAGTTGGTTTACTTCGTGGCGGCCGTGGTCGTGCTGCACGACAAGAAGTTCGCCACACAGAAGCATTACCTCGGTCACTCGGAGGAGATCACCTGGTAAGCTCCAACAGTGTAGGGTTGCATTGGTAGCTTAAGGATGTATCCCGCCAAGTTTAGCGTAAAACCGTTTTCGGAACTACTCTTTGGTCGTTGTTAATTAGTTGAACGTTAAGTAATTTGAACTTACAAAGTTCTGTGTTAATTTTGATCTCTACGACATCATGTAGTAAATTTCATTGCTCCAAAACAAAACTAGGTGGCATTGTTTATTAGGTCAGTTATTTAATACCAGCTTGACCAACGCCACCATATTGCGCGGGTAAAATATGAGAAGGGGTGGCATAAACTGTTAGGATAATTCCAGATGGAGCTCCATAAATTTCCCCCCCCCCCAATGCTTAGTTTTCAGTGAGTGTACGAAACCAATAAGCGTACGAGATCGATTATGCCCTTGAATTCCCCGTGACTTTTCAAAACCATTCAGTCTCTCTCCTCAGTACACATTCATTTGCCTTTCTTTTAGATTTAGACATGTCTTGTAAGTTGTCAACAAGCGTTGGGTAACGAATGTTTTCGTTTGTGTGCATTTGGAGGGGGGGGGGGTAAGCAGCGAATAAAAGAGCATCACTTTGCGCAATAAGAGCAAGGGGGGGGGGCTGACTAGATCCACAATGGAATTAATATTATAGGTTACATCTGTTATATCGTACTTCCAATTCAATCAAAAGAATTCGTATTGAATGAATTGTGATTGCCTTAATGCAGTGGTTCTCAACTTATCTAATGCCACGACCTTTAACACTGAGCCTCATGTTTTGGCGACGCCTAACCACAAAATTTTTATCGTTGCTGCTTCATAACTGTTGGGTATATGTGTTATCCGATGGTCTTAGGCGACCCCTCTGAAAGGCTCATTTGACCCCCAAAGGGGTCACGACCCACAGGTTGAGAACTGCTGCCTTAATAGAACGTTTATGCTTTCATTTATGTAACTGTGAACAAAATATAGAACTAGAATCAAATTAATTTCAGAATGAAAGCAAACAACGTACCAGATTTTTAAAAAAAATACGATTGTAGCAAATAAGAAATCAACTCTTCTCTTTGTTATAATAATATGATTCACATTACTTTTTGAAGAAGAAAATAAGGGTGATTTATGTAAAATCTGCATTACAACAAATTATGTATTTATTTTTTTGAATTTTAAACCAACCCAGCCTGGCAATTCATCCAAATGGAAGGTTTATCGCCTCGGGACAAACTTCTGGCAAAACTCCAGAATCAGGGGTAAGTACTTTCATACAAGGCTAACATTTGTTTTTCTTACAGAGCTTCTCCCTTATCTTCACTGTAAAATATTTGGCCAAAGCTTCTCCCTTATCTTCATTGTAAAATATTTGGCCAAAGCTTCTCCCTTATCTTCATTGTAAAATATTTGGCCAAAGCTTCTTCCTTATCTTCACTGTAAAATATTTGTCCAAAGCTTCTCCCTTATCTTCATTGTAAAATATTTGGCCAAAGCTTCTCCCTTACCTTCATTGTAAAATATTTGGCCAAAGCTTCTCCCTTATCTTCATTGTAAAATATTTGGCCAAAGCTTCTCCCTTATCTTCATTGTAAAATATTTGGCCAAGGCTTTTTTATTACCTTTTTCCAATCTAGTTACTGTAATGTTTTGGCCAATTACTAAAAATGACCTAAACTCCAAACAAACTTATATTTCTTTTTATTTAAAAAGTGTACTTTAACAACCAAAATAATAGTCTAAAAATATGAATTATATGCATATTAAAGATTTTATGGATTTCATTATAAATACAATTCAATACTCAAAAATATCATTATTTTAAAAGTTTTTTTTTTTTAATGTCCTTAAACTATCTTAAAAAGATAACATCCCAAATTGTTCACGTTTTGAAACGGACTATAATTATCGCCTCATTTCTCTTCGATGATTTGAATAAAATCTAATACAGTTCTTAAATTAGAGAAATAATCTTAGAATAGAGCAAAAGTGAATTATGTGTATTAACTCGCCTACATTACGCTGCACAGGCTCACGTCCGTGTCTGGGATGGGACATCACTCTCCACTTACGCAGTTATCGGACTTGGCACCTTCCAGCAGGGCATTGCCTGCGTTAACTTTTCTGAGAAAGGTTCTCAGCCCACTGGCGGATCTGGCTCAGTGAGTATTTATTTTTATATAACCGTGTTTTTAGAGGGTACACTTTGGTCTATAAAATCATGTAATTTTTTTTTTTCAAATATATAAAATACATTTGAAATATTATTTTTTTAGCCTTACCTTTTTTGCGATGTTAGATAAATCTTAGACCAAATAATGTGGAGCCGTTTGGTCTTTTGCTCTACAAATCTAATCTCGTTTTCAAAGACTTTTTTCCCCCCCACTCGCTTTTCCAATCTTGTCGTTGAATCGTAACTATTTTGTTGAAACACGGGACTCTGTCACTTAGCTGATCGCCTGTCTCGCGCAGTGCTCGCCCGGTGTGAACGATGGGAGAGGGGTAGATAGAGGAATGATTGTTTGGAAGGGGCCAGGAGCAGGGTATACGGCAAAAAGAGTTTGGCTGCGATAATATGGGTTGAAGGAGGGGGTGAGGTGGTGAGTGATGAGGAAATCCCCCCCCCCCGTTACCCTCTCGCTGTGGTTGACAGTGAAGGAGGGGGGGAGGTGGTGAGTGGTGAGGAAACCCCCCCCCCCCCGTTACCCTCTCGCTGTGGTTGACCTGAGTGGTTGATACACTGATACAGAGTGTGTGTTGTGACGATTATTGGAGTCTCAATAATATACAAGTAAAAAAAAAATATATTTAAAAAATAGCTAATAACAAACTTGTTTTAAAAAAAGAAAAAGACTTTCTTTCCAAGACGAGCTTGATCACACTAAAACGAAAATCGCTGATAATTTCTTAAAACGCATTACGCAGTGAACGTCCGTGGAGGAATTATTTTCAAATATTAATGAAAAATATAACACATTTAAGTTTGGTCTACATTCAATTCAAATCCTTTTGGCTACATGTAGTGCACAGTGCACACCTATACTTCTGCACAGTCGTTCTTTGCGTCGTGCATTAAATTAAAATAAAAAAAATATATGTTCTACTTTTGAGTTCATTTAAATTCAACTAAATAATAAATCCTTTTAAAAACTTTTTAAAGATATTTTTTTTAATTATTGTATTTAAATTCGTCTTTGATAGAAAGTCTTTTTTTTAAAGTTTTTTAATATATGTTTTATTAGCATGTAAATAAATATTATACTCCAAATAGCGTAATTTCAACATGAACTTTGCCATGATTTATCAGCTTTAAGCATCGGTTTATTGCAATTCCTCCACAGGTCATGGGCGAACTTTTGATGGCCATTGATGACAGCGATAGACACCAGCTGACTGTCTGGGACTGGCAGACGGAGAAAATGGTGGCTAGGACAACGGTGAGAGGGTACTTTATATGTGGACATGGTTACGTAGCAGTTAGCGTATAGGTCTCTTTTTTTTCTCAAATTGAAACTATAAACATAGGCATGAAAACTGCAGAAGGTTATTTTAAAATAAATTTAACGACATAGTTTTATTCCAGAAAATTAAGTCCTCTCCCCATTCCTGCCCCTTTCCCATCCCCACCAAACTTTATAAAATATTTAGCAAACGACCCACTGCTCCATACTACGTAATAAATTGATAATTCCCTTGACCGGCTTTAATTCAATTTTTTTTTCATTTAACCGTACCCTTTAAAACTTTTCAAAGGTGGCAACTCACCTTACTGACGTTAAATAATATAGACAGTGTATTTCCGTAACAGGGACTACACCGCATCAAATGCCCCCTTTAATATAATATAGGAACTATAGAATACCAATGAAATAATACGATGAATATCTTCTTGAATTCTTCCTTCTAGCTTATTCCATTTGTCGCCAAGGTAAACAACATGTTGAGTATTGATGTTGAGCTTTCCGTTAAACACACATTCACACATAGGCCGCACGTTATTTACTTATATTTTGGGTTAATGTTTGGGTGCATTTTCCCTCGCAAATCGACACATGATTTATTCTGACATATGTTCATCATTTAATTTTGCATGTTATCATCATGAGCGATAAAAAAAATTATATATTTTTTATGTTTTAAATTTCCAATTCTGATATATACTTTCCTATATTAATGTATTTTACATATGTTTTAATTGATGTTAAATTAGTCTTCAAGCAGTACCGATACAAACTCAATAGTTAACTATTGTTCTTATTTTTAACTAATAAATCCTCAAGACAGTGAGCAATAAAATGTTTAGAGTTTACTAACATTTGTGAAGTCACCGCATGCTATTTGGTTTTCATATATCCTCTCGCCTGCTACCCTTATGTATGTTAATGTATCACAATGAAATTTAGACGTTCATCACAAAATTGACGATTTTTTTATTTTTTTAAAAATAATTCATGAATTTTGTATACCAATAAGTTCCATTTCACATACACAATGAACAAAACTGAATTTGTCACACGTTCAATTCAGAAAGTAAGAGGTACTAGGAAAAAATAATCAATATCAGAGATGAACGCCATACGCATAGTCAGGGCTAAACATTGATTTTCTGTGCCTGCACAGTGCGTGTGTACATAATTCATTGCTCTCAGGACGCCCAACGCCTTCTGTTTTCGTACTTTTAACTAATCAATTGCATCTTCTGATTTTACTAGTGAGAATAAAGAACGTGTATTAAAGCAGGTCTAGAAGATGTCATTTTTATATAATATTGTCTGCCCGATCAACTAATTTTGTACTCTCATTGGTGTGAAAATCAAGTCACTCCCAATTTAATCATCCAACACTTCCCACCAAACAAACGTTTTCTTAACTTTGCGGCTTTAATACACAGGTAAAATATGTTGAGTCCCCAGAATAAAGATATTTTTTTTTTAAAGCAGAGATTTGGAGCATGCTTTTGTTTTTGGCCAAGATCAGTCCTCGACCCACTCCGGACAAACTTTTGTCGGCTCCATCTCCGCTCCAAAAAAGAACCTATTCCAAGGCTGCGAGCTCCGCTCCAAATCCCTGTTTTAAAAATGTTTTTTAGCTCTGCTCCCGTACCTGCAAGAATACAACACAGTGGAGGAAGAACAATTATCTTGAAATGTTTACCTGTCCTCAGACAACCACAGACCCCGTCGTGTCAGGGTGCTTCTACCCACAGGATGAGACCATTCTAATGACCTATGGCAAGGAACACATCCACTTCTGGAAGATGTTCTGGGACAAAGGGCGGAAGATCATGAGGGATAAGCTCAGCGGTAACTTTGAGGTAAGCGGGTTACATGGTATCTTCTTCGGTCGCCACCTTTGTGGGTATAAGAAGAAAATTACTTGAAAATACAATTTTAACTGCAGCAAACGTGTTGCTGTTTTAATGAGACGGGCTCTATTATTAAGCTTGATACTTGAAAGACAAATCAGGGCATGTGACTATTAAAAAATAGTCTGGAAAAAAACTATCTGCCCATGCAGTCGATTCTTTAGCCTCAGTTATTAATGAATGTAAATTAGTATCTCATAGGGATATACAGAATTGTTTGTTTTCAAATATATATAAACAAATTATAGCCCACAAACTAAACTTTTTTTTCACGCCACTGAGTTAGACTCTATATTAATATTTTAATGTTTTACCCTATTTTACACAATACATTTATAACAACATTTCAATTGAGACTATTTCCGTAAAGCTAAATAAAATAGTAAGCATTAAATGCCTTTCTGTGCGTTATTTTTAAGAATCTCATTTATTTTTTGTGTTATTCAACTCACCATTGCATTACAACAGTCCTATCCATCCCTGTGGCGCTACAGCCCATGTAGGGCTTTGGCCTGCCTCACTGCATCCTTCCACTCAGACCTAACTAATGCTTTTCTTTTCCATGCTTGGATTTTCAGCTGCTGTAGATCTTTTTCCACATCATCCATCCACCTAAGCCTAGGTCTGCCTTTGAGCATTTTCCCTCTGGGGTATTGGTGATGCACCCTCTTCGTTCCTCTGTCATTTGGCATTCTCTCTAAGTGTCCTGCCCAGCGTAACATGCCCCTTTTTATTTCTGCTACTATCGTGGGATCCTGATATAGACTGTAAAATTCATGGTTGGTTCGTATTCTCCATCCATATTCATCCTTTGTTGGCCCATATATTTTCCTGAGAACTTTCCTCTCCATGTGTTCAATATGTTTTTTGCCGTTTTTGTTAGGGTCCAAGGTTCACTTCCATATGTTACAACTGATCTGATTACAGTTTTATAAATAGTTTTCTTTGTTTCTCTTGTAATGTTTTTACTTTTGAGTATTAACTGACCACTGGAGTATGCCCTGTTTCCGGCTGATATTCTTTCTTTTATTTCTGTTGGTAAAATTCGTTTCTTTCATTTAATAAAGATCCTAGGTATTTGAATTGATTTCCTTTTTCAAAAGTCTGGTTTCTAATTTTAATTGCCTCAGCTGTTTGTTCTTCTCTTATCATGGTCATGTATTTTGTTTTTTGGTTGTTAACTTCCAGCCCTGCTTGTAAAGATGCGTCTTCTAATTCAATAAAGGATTTTGATAATAATATGTCTTTAATACTTTTCCCTAGCAGTGCTATGTCATCAGCATATGCAAGATACTGAAGTGGTTGTTTGTAGAGTGTGCCCATTGGTTGTGGGTCTTGAGTTCCCCCTCAGAAAGTATCCTGTTATCGTTCCTAGAGTGTCAATGTGTATGTTTCTTATAACTCTCTTTGTTAGGTTAAAAAGCATGCAAGACAGTGAGTGTCCCTGTCTTAGGCCTCGCCTAATATGAAATTCCCTGGAATATTCTCCTTGAACCTTGATTTTGCTTTTTGAGTTGTTTAGTGTTACATGTATTCGTCTTGTCAGTTTGGTGAGGTATCCCAAACTCCTGCAGAGTCTCATATATATATTTTCTTTTGATGCTGTCATGGGCAATTTTATAGTCCTTATAGAGTTGATGTACTGGTATATTATATTAATAGCATTTCTCTAATAGGCATCTGATGGTGAAAATCTGATCAGTCGTTGATCGGTTAGGCCTGAATCCACATTGGTAATCACCTAGTATTTCTTCAGTGTAAGGTTGTAGTCTTTTGGCAATAAGCTTCGTCAGTATTTTGTATGTAACATTTAATAGGGTGATTCCTCTGTAGTTTGTGCACTGAAGTTTGGAGCCTTTCTTGTGTATTGGGGTTACTAATGCTGTTTCCAATTCTGTCGGGATTTTCTCTTCTTGCCAAATTTTAGTTATAAGTTTATGTATCTGAGTGTGTAGTTCTTTTCCTCTGCTGTGATGAGGTCTTCTCCAAGGGTTACAACAGGGCTGCGCAACTCAGAATGATAAGGCGGGCCGTAATACTTTATGAGAAACTTGCGCGGGCCGAATGATAATAGGTCAGGGGCGAAAGCTATTAAGAAAAGAATAATAATAAAGAATATTTTGTTACTTCGCGGGCCGCAAAGAGGGTACTGGCTTGCCGTATGTTTGCAGGCCTGCATTACACTATATTTATGATAATTATTAGCAGTAGTTTTTAAAAAATCGTCAGTTTCTCCTTAATTTTTGGTTGATACATGATATTTGGAAGATTTATAAATCTAATGACAATGTGAATACTTAACTCAAAAGAAGTAATAACGCCCAATCATTATTCATTATGCGAATCAACCGGTGATATAACCGAAATTAATATTATAAATGCGAATCACAAATTTAATATTTGAAAGCGGATAACTCTCGTAAACTCTAAGTTTCTGTAACTTTCAATTAAAAGACGAGGTGCAAATTTTATGTTTTTTTAAAATATATACATTTTTATAATGAAGCTGAAATTTTCAGAAGTATTTGTTAAAACACTAAGTCTTTTAAGATTCATAAATTAACGATCCGATAGCCGATATAATTTACTATTGATAATAGACAGTGGAACTCGTCCGAGCTCCACGTCCACTGTGCTCGACGTTCAATTTTCTCAACTTAAGTATCGGAATAGTTTTGCCACTAATGACTAATTACTAATGAATGATTACTGACAGTGATTACTAATGATAATGAATTTAATAGGCATAAGCATAGGGTAGGAGTAGGGGCCATCCATAAATGACGTCACAAGTCTATGGGGGAGGGGGATCACATTTTCATGATTTTTGTGATGAGCGGGGTGGTTTAAGTTTAATGTGACGTTGCATGAAATCGGAAAATTAAACTAATTATAGTAAAAAAAATTCACTTAATAATAATAACCCTAAATTACTGAAATTTTTAACAAATTCTTTAATACAACAGTTATAATAATTTTTTTTAACTGTGATCAGAGCCGATCACGAGAATCAGTGCAGGACCAAAAACGGCTTATGATCAAGCTAGAGAATTTATGTCGAAATGTGGAGGCGGGAGCTAGGACTACCACATGAAGTGGGATAGAATGAAAAAATGGTTGACCGGGGTGGGAGGCTTGATCTTAGTAAAAGTAAATGCTCTAGGGAAAGGATTCTTAGCCCTTTTAGAACACCGTAGTCCTGGGTTTTAAACATTTCCCGCATCCACCCACCCCATATATGGTTATATATATGGTTATATAGGCCTAAATAATATTGTAATAAAATTTAAAATGTGAAAATATTAATATTAAAATAATTTAGTTCTTGTAGTTATGAAATTCCTCTTAACAAGGGAAAAAATATAATACAAGTAATGCATAAAAAAAAAAAAAAATACTGCTGCTAACTGACATGAGTAAAAACTGATTTTTTAAAGGCGGCAACAACTAGCAATGGAAACAAATACAATTTTCTTGGTCTTCCACGCTTCAATGGGTGCTTCCACCTATGGTTAAGAACCACTTTTGTAGTAAAATATTTCTGACACAGCTGCAGCAATTTGATATCCATGGGAGGTGAATTTTTTAAGGGTTTGTAAAGGACAGTAGACAGTAGTAGGCGGAGGGTTTTTATAGGGGTGGAGTGTGCAGAGATATATGACGTTATATTTCAAGGGAGTTCTGGGAGGCTACAAAATTTGCATGGCATCATTTATGGATGGCCCCATATAAACTAAAAATAGCTTTATATATTCTAAGTCTAAACTGAAAGAAAATTAATTTTCAATTTACTACTAATTTAATGGCTTAAAAATAAACGTGACTATGTTATGTAACATTAATTAGAGCATTAGCTGATAAAAACTTATAAAAAGCAACCAAAGTCCAACGTGTGGGTGTGAGTTGAAGGCAGAATAATACACTATTATTAATAGTTAGCACTATTGTAATCACTGTTGAAGTCAAGATCATGTAAATGGCTTATAGTTATAGAATTCTAAAATTCATAGTAAATAAATAATAATTCCTTGTCCTATTTACTCTTAGAATATGAAGGCCTATATTAATATATACTAATACATGAATGGGTCTCTGGATTCATTTTCTCTATTAGTTTTTTATATTTTAGTTATATATCCAAGTTACCAAAGAGCACAAATACACTTGATGCTTCATGGGTTAATGTTGTAATTAAAATTAAAGTTTAAAAAAAAAAAAGCAATATTAAAGTAAGATTGGTAAAATTTTTAACCCATAAATGAAGTACAACATTTATTTATTGACCGTTACCTATATATAAAAGCAACAAAGGATGATGGAAAGGGTAAAGTTATAATTGTGTTAATTTAATAAAATTTACCTCTTCACATTTTCATCAGTTTCTTTAGTAAGTTGTAGCCTACACATTTACATGTTTAAAATTGATAGCTATCAATGCATTTTACTTTGAATTTTACAAAAATATATTTTTTTTGCAGTTAAAAATATGTCAATTAAAAAAATAATTATAATCAGGTGTGACAATTTTCTTTACATCACAAATTTCCATTAATATCTCAATTTTATCACCAAATTGATACAGTTTTTACACATTTTTTAATTCACAAATTTAAAATCCATCTCCTCTACACACACTACTTATAAAATGTGATAAGCAATGGATTGTAATCTATTAGAAACTTGTTTGATTAAATGTCATGATATAACTTGTCTGAGATGCCCAATCTAAGGGATCTACTTGCTTTTCAATTATTAAACTGACATGAACATGTAAGGGGAAAATGAGTTTTTAACACACGCTTAATATCCAGGCTTACCATAAGTCTGTCCCTTTATAACTGGGATCATCCCGCTTTGGGACCTTGTCCCTGTGTTCCTGTAAGTTTTGACTTTTGTCCCAGTTTCCATCTCAGTTTGATATGATTAAATTTTCATGTCTATTTTAGAAAGTCTTGAAAACATTTATAGCTTCAGAACTTGTTTGGTATCAACCTTATTTTATGTAACTGTGTTAAAATTATTTGTGTATAAACATTTGAGTTCTAAGCATGTATTACATAAAGTGTGTTTTGTAATAAATTAGTCCAAGTGTAAATCTAAGGCTTATTAAGGCCTGAGCTAAATGGTCTGCCTGCAACCTTTGACCCCCACACCCCCTCCTGTGAAAGGGGAGAAGTAAAATGTTAGAATCAAGCCATCAATAAAATTTAGGGCATTCATCCCCTTCTCATCCCAAAGTCACGCCACATGTGATACCTATTCCAAAGGTCCTGGTTTCAATCCTTTAATTACATTAAGGTAAGCCTGTTAATGCCCCCCATCCCATCAGGGGTACTGATGATTTGCTTGGACTGCATTAAACACTTGGTTGGCCTAGTCTAGATAACAATAAATGCTTCTTCTTAACCAGTGGTTTTTAAACTTTTCTGGACACTGCCCCCTTTGGTGCAATAATGGCAGTCTTAGCTCTCCCGTGTTTCCCCCTTATGAACTGGCTATTATTTTGAAAAAATTTTTATTATATGTCCAGGAGTGGCATAAAGTTCAACTTTTAATCATGCTACATAAGAATTTGATACTAAAGAATAAAATCTTTTACTGTGATACATCTATTTAAATTAGGATTATTTTTCATTTCAGTATAACAAGCAATATTCAGTGTAAATTCATTTGTAACAATGAAATTGAAAACCCAAAGGCCCATCACATTATATTTCTTTGTCAAATTACAACTGTCTATGTATAATTTCAGGAGAATATTCCAAAGTTCGTTACCTCTGTCTGCTTTTCTCCTGCTGGAGAGGTCATCACAGGTGACTCCACTGGGGCCATCTTGATCTGGTCACGTGACAACAACAATGTGTTCACTGTCAATGCAGCTCTGTCAAGGCAAACTAGGAAAGCTCATAAGGTATTTAGACAGTCATCCTTATTAGCCAGCTCCCACCCAGCCCTTTTTGGTGATGTCGACAAATGTTTAATTTTATATTTATGGGTGACCAAGTGGTCTACACTGAGACCATCCCAAGCTAGTGAACTCAAGTTCAATCCCCAACAAAACCAAAAACATTACCAGGACCCCGGGTGGATGGGACTCATTAACTTTGGATGGCAACTATCTAAGCCAAGGCAAACTCTGAAATCAAACCTGAAGATGTAGTTCCCTAGGCGTTATGACATTGACTCAATGAAAATTTCAACAACTCCTGCGACGTAGAAGGCATATTGAAACACTCGAACACACACTGCTGGTCATCTGCTGCGTCCGGGCCTATGTCTTGAGTAAGTCTTGCCATTGGATCAAATAGGCAAGGACGAGAGAGTGAGGCTGCCGAAGGGAGCAACTCTTCCTCACTTTAAATGAAATAAAGCTCAAGTCAAGGCCACTGCTTAGGTCTTCAACACAGTACTTACTGAGAGTTCCCAGTGTGGATAAACACAGTAAAAATTCTTACGGAGTGCGCACTTTTGAAGCGATAGCGCCAAAATTATGGAACAGTTTGCCTCAATTTTTTAGGGGAATTGAAAATGATAAAAAATCATTTAAGAAACATTTTAAAACTTTTTTGTTTAAATAGATTTCAGAAAACCAGAGCGCAGTGAGCATGCTAAAGTGCATGGATACCAGCGCGATATAAATATCACATCAATCAATAGGTACTACTCAAGTCGAAAATTGCCTTGGTCATCTTCGCATGCAAAAGACAAACAATAATAATAATTTTATATTTAAAATAAAAAATACTAAGGGAGTCAACATTTCATATAAAAAAAAGAATATTTTGAAACAAATGTTTAACTGATTGACCTGCTGTACTAGATGTACTAAATTTAGCCATTGCTTTCACTCTTTTAGCATGTAAAACTAATTTGCTTCCATGTTCCTTTAAAAATTAAAAAAAATGGATTGTCACACTTCAAGTCAAAACTCCTGCTGGAGAAACACCTTGATAATTTGTCATAGTAAACAGTAAAGCAAGGAATTGCTCTTGATTATTAACAATACGTGTGATATGAACTTAACAGTAAGTTACTAAAAGGGTCTATACACAAACAATGTCATGCGTTTGGGGAAGCAACAATTTGTGACCATGTTTGATAAAAGTGTCTGTGTTACAAATGTGTAACAAATGGAAAGGGTGTGGTGAAAATCTGCCAAAACAACATGACCTCTTTTATGGATCATCAGTGGTAAGTGACAGCTTTAAAATACTGCGCAGGGTAGATATGAAGTGATCAACAGGCCTATAGACTCTGTCATTATTAATATTATATTTCTCTTCTCTACTCCAGAAAAGTGTTGCAGCACTTTGTATGTTGGGTGATGGGACTTTGCTGTCAGGAGGTGGAAATGAGGTCAAGGCCTGGGACTCTATTAACAACTATTCTCCTGTCAAGGAAAGAGTGGTTAGTCTTTTTTTCCATTTTTTGTTTTAGCTTAGGGATATCAACAAAGTTTGAGGTAACATCACCATATATTATTCATCATTGATGTTTTTTTCTCATATGTTAACTTTACTTTGTAAATGTTAGAAATTCAAAAACTAAAAAAAGTAAATAAAAAACAAGATTTTATCAAGTAAGTTATTGTTTACATTGGCCACCCGACTTAACCTTCTGCCCCTCTGTGATCAGCTTCCAGCCACTGCAGGTCATGTCAGGAGTATAGTACCAATCACTAAGGGAGGTCTGGATGGGTCAATCTATGTGTCCACCACGAGGAATAAGGTCCTGGAGGGGAGTCTGCAGCTCAAGTTTAAGTTCATCATACAGGTGAGTCGATGAATTCAAACTTAATTCTGAACGCACATAGAAGTGAGTAAGGTATGTACTTAGAATATGTGTCTAGAAATGTATCGTTAATATTTTTTAAAATAACCCAAAAGTGCAACACTAATTAACTGTTTTCATTAGTATTTCAGATCACTGTAAAAAAAAAAAAAATTGTCTGCATATCAAATGATCTTTTTATAAACAATGAAGAAAATTGCTTTATTTGATTTTAAAAAATTACTATTTTTTCAACGCTATATTTTGAATCCAAGATAGGTCAGTACATCTGTCCTATAATCCTATTTTTTAATTTGATAGTTAGCATATATAGTGAGCCCAATCATCCCCAGCCCCCAAATCATTCCCCCCCCCTTCCCCAACCACTTACAGGTGTTGGGAGAGAATTGTTTGCATATATGAATTTACCAGTATTTAAACTCTTTTGTCTCAAAATGCTTGACTTTGTCTTCACCTGCTTAATAGCTTAGGTAAATTTGTCATTAAAATTAAAACAAGATTACACTGAATTTTCGTATGTTTTTAGGGCCATGTAGAAGAACTTTGGGCTGTAGAAAGCCATCCACTGGAGCAGACATTTGTTTCAGCTGGTCATGATCAGATGGTTGTGAAGTGGTCGGCAATTTCTCATGCTCCTGTCTGGAGAGTTAACGCAGAGGCAAGTTTGTGGTTTATAAAAATTTATAGTAAAAACTGTTATCATTCTAATGGGATACGTTCCAATTTTCGTTAAACAGAATAGTTTGGCTGTGGATGCCGCCTACTTTTTAAAATTTGGCTTGTTTCCAATATCATGTTTGTTTCTGAATTCGATCACAGAAAACTGAGTAGGGTTAATTAAAACAGATCCAATAATATATTTTTTTAAAAGTTATCTTTTAATCTGAATAATTTCTTTTCTTTCAATTCATGATATTGTCATCCAATCCATTTTTACACAGTCAACCACACATGATAAGAAAGCGCATATGATATGAACAACCCATTTTGCTATGTTCTCTCCAAAAAATTTGTTGTTCCTTCATGGTCGTACACTTTAGAAACTGAATACTGATATGACACTCGGGGCCATGCTTAAAAGCCTGAAGCTATATTTTAATTTAAAGTTTATATAAGGCTGTATTTTTTTGTTGTTATGAGAACAAATTCTTATAATTCATTTTATTTGAAAATATTATCTGAACTTTTCATTGCAGTTACAAAATTTTTGTTTGAATAAGTACTTTAGCTACAAATTTTAACAAGAACAAAACAGGATACTAAATGTTTAAAAAGTCAATGTCAACTAATATTAATCATAACTTATGTAAGTTTTAAAACTTTTCTCGTGATCTTTTAAAAAAACAACTTTTTATTATACTTATCATGAGAGTTGATATTTATTTAATTATATTTACAAATTTGACATCTTAAACTAAAATGGACTTGGGTTTTGTCTTTTCTAGAGATATGCAATTTGATACAATTTCTAATCGGGCAAACTTTTATGGATCCTTGGTTTACTGATTTCAAAATATTTGAGTACATTTTTTTAGCATTAAAATTTAAAAGATATTTTGATGGAGGAAGTCATTTTATTTCATCTTAAACTCTTACTCCAGGTGAAACGGAATGACAATAGTTTTACAAAGAGAGAGAAAATTTCCAACATTTCTTTTGCCTTAAAAACTATTTTTTCCCCCCTCTATTTCTTCATCTAGAATCCTTGTACTTGCATCAGCATTGACCCCAAGGGTAGGATTATTGCCCTTGGCACAACTGCTGGTAAAGTGATTATCCTCAACTCATACAATGGTGCTGTGCTGACGTCACTTCCGTCGGGAAATGTTCAGATAAATGCTTTGAGTTTTTCACCAGGTTGGCCATTTTTTTTTTGTTAGGTTATTTTCTTTTTAGCTGAGATTTCCTCCCATCTTTTATATATATCTTGATTCAGATTTTTAACTGATATGAATATATCTGCCATTAAGACAATAGTCTGTTTAAAAAAAAAATGATTTACATTGGCTACTTGTGTAGTCTAAATAAATGCTTTATTGAAGGCTACATATGTATTGTTAAAAACAGGAATAACCTTGTTTATTTATTTATTAATGTTTTTAGGTTTGGAAAACTAACAGACATTAAGATGTCCAATTGAGATTGTATCTCTAAAAGAAAAACAAAACAATATTCAATTATTATGAGTAAAAAAACAAGTTCAAACCAAATTAAGTCATTTGAAAACATGAACACAACAAATGTAATACTTTTAAAATATCAAATTGTTTTTTTTTCTCTGCAAACATTTATCATAATCTTTTGTGGAACTAAAAAACTTCATTTCACGTTGTATTACGTGCATGCTTTAAATTATATAATTAATTTTGTTTTTTTTCCCGGCTTTCTCATCAATTTTACAGATGGTAAACAACTAGCTGTAGGAACATATGATGGCTTTCTACAGATATTTTATCTGCAAGATGAGGGGCAAGCATTTTTCAGACCTCAGCCACTTTCGCTCAAGGTAATCGAAGATACTTGCAAAGAGGGCTTATTTTGCACTCATTTACTTTAAACAAAGAATTTTTGAGCATTTAAAAACCACAAAAATAATCAAAATTATTTTAAAATTTTGTTTCAGTTTCATTGCTATGATACAATTCAATGCAGTATTTTATAGACAATTTAAAACAAGAGGAAGCTATGTAGTAATATTCTTTTGCATTAATGACAATGCTTATCTTATTATTTAATGCTTGAAGATAAGCTAAGCTTTCTCCATCAATACCAAAATTAATCATTGTTCACTTAACAGTTATTGAATGGGAAAATAGTCTTTCTAATTGATTAAGTAATGTTCCCTTCCATTATTAGTAGGAAAACTCATCTAAGGCCATAGCTGCAACCCAAGGGGGAATAGTTTGACAAGGATATGTCCCTGTGTTGTTTAAGTAATCCTTAATGGCTGAATGAGTAATCACACTAATCAAAGTAATCTATAATGATTGAATGACTAATGGGACTGATCAAAGTAATCTACAATGATTGAATGACTAATCAGACTGATCAAAGTAATCTATAATGATTGAATGACTAATCGGACTGATCAAAGTAATCTATAATGATTAAATGACTAATCAGACTGATCAAAGTAATCTACAATGATTGAATGACTAATCGGACTGATCAAAGTAATCTATAATGATTGAATGACTAATCGGACTGATCAAAGTAATCTATAATGATTGAATGACTAATCGGACTGATCAAAGCATTTATATTTAGTTCATACGTAATACCAGGCTGAATGAGTAATCAGACTAATAAAAGTAATCTATAATGATTGAATAACTAATCAGACTGATCAAAGTAATCTATAATGATTGAATGACTAATCGGACTGATCAAAGTAATCTATAATGATTGAATGACTAATCAGACTGATCAAAGTAATCTACAATGATTGAATGACTAATCAGACTGATCAAAGTAATCTACAATGATTGAATGACTAATCAGACTGATCAAAGCGATTTATATTTAGTTCATACATGATATTGGGACTTAAGTCACTGTTCTTATCAGAATTATTTGTAGTGTTTGGTTGTCATAAAATGAGTGATTAAAACAATATGCAGTATAAAAAAAAATACTACAAGCATTCAGTTAGCAGATTTGATTCTCCATTAATAAAATCCCTAATATAAGGATTTTTTGTCCAGATCTCTCAACACATTTTTAAACGCCAGTTATTTTATTGTTACAGCACAGCAACATGTTCATCATGCATCTTGATTGGTCTGTGGACTCGAAATGTATCCAGGCTGTTCTTGGAGACTATGATATTGTTCATTGTGAGTGGATTTTAGTGAACTTTCAACCAGATTAGTGTCGGCAAAAGCTACAAACCAACCACTTCTTATTCAGGCTGCCATTGGGATTTTAATTTATTGTACTTAAAACTCAATAATTTAAAAAAATCTAATGAGACTCATTTAGGGTGGAACACATTTAAAAGTTATTAATATTTTACAATTTAAAGGAACTTTTTATAAATGTAACAAAAGTGATGCAACATTTTATCTTGACACGATGTCAATATTACCCTGAATTTCTTTAAAACTTCATTTAAAAATCAAACCAAATATTTAACTCAAATTTTGAATACATTTTTAGATCACTTTTTACTAAATGGTTTGAGTAAGCCTGAATTGTTTTACACAACACCTTGAGGTTTTTATTCTTCTAGCAATATTTTATAATTTCATTTAAGGCTATTTTGAAGTCAGTCTGAAAATAAAAACTTCTTTTTTGCAAAACACTATTTCAGGGGACATTCCTGCTGGGCAGAAGATCAAGACAGCTAGAGCTGTCCGTGATGTCAAATGGGCCACTCACAACTGTCCTATTGGTCACTCAATAATAGGTAAGTTTATGAACTATCTGTGCAAGTTAACTGATTTTAGAATTCTGACACCCGTCTAAAGAGGGCAAGGGAGATAATTAGCTGTGAGAGTAGCTTCCTTGACAGAGAAAGGAATGTTATTTCTGTGGCCACACTGTTTTAATAACTTCTATTTTACAGTTCTAAACCTTTTCATTAATCATAGGTCCATGGCAAAACCTTGACCGTGGTGATGTCATCAATGTTGTGACAAGGTCACAGTACCGTGACATGATGGTGGTGGGTGACAGCAAGGGAAGACTTCGACTCTACAAGTGGCCTTGCTCTGTTGCAAAGGTAAGGTTTGTTTCCCTTTAAAAGATGTTCATTCAGTGTCAAATTTTTTTTTTTACAGAGCTCAAAGAATTCTCACGAACTTTTACATAGAAATCATCGTAGTCAAATTGTTTTTAGGGCTGTTAGTCAATTAATGGATGATTGGCGAGACTGTTTACAGTATTGAAATTAAATGCTTTCTTCATCACGTTACAGCCTTAGGGCAAGGTTAAAAAATCAAATATTCCTTGCGATCAGACCACAAGAATGTGTGTGTTTTAATGAGTTGTTAAAGTTAATAGAGTATAAAATGAGAAAGTGGCGGTGGTCAGAATTGATCATTGATTGGATGAACTTGAAATGAGAATGGAAGTTTAGTAGAAAACAATTAAAATGTAACATAAGTTATCATCATGATTTTGTCCGTTTAGCGACTGTTGGTAAAAAAAAAATGTGTTTTTCCGTCCCAAATAAATATTTTGAGTATATTGTCTTTTTATATGTAGCTAAACAAAATAATGTTTGATCTTTGGGCAATAATAAAATAAAACACTTTCTTGAATTAAAAAAGTTATTTGTGTTCTTGTAGATGTTAAATTTAAAAATAACCACTCCTTAAAGAACAAAACAGTAGTGAAACATCATTCCGTTACTACTTATTTTGTTGTTTAGATGTTATTTTAATGTATTGAGTCAATGAAGTGTATTGTTAAAACTGAAGTTACCAGAAGTGAACGAAGGGTAAACCTATTTCCCCAGGCTGGCTTTCACAACACCAAGTGCTTCTCTTCAAATGTCACGTGCGCAGCCTTCACCTGTGATGATGGGTACGTCATTGCTTCCGGAGGAAATGACGCGGCTCTGATGCAGTTCACCGTCCTTGACCCTGTCAGCACACGATGACTTGCATGAGCTGACAAAGCCTTAATTACCCTTGTTGAGAATATTGCACTTTGACTTTGGCTAAAACCATCCATATTTACTTTTTGTAAATAACTTCTCAGGTATCGCTGTGTAACATTTATGTAACTGCATAACATTAAATACTTCAAAAGCATAAATAACTAATCTAAATGTGGATGCAATATTAGTTACAAGAATCAGGTTGAAATGTTGTATGAGGAGAATCAAGTGTGCAAGGGGAGAAAAGTGATAATCACAGAGTTGGGTTTTCGATTTCATTAATGTCTAAATGTAACTGTCAGTCGGCTCAATATTTTATAACTGATATTGTTCAAGTTTGTGAATCTCATGAAACTAAAACACCTACAAAAATGTTCCAATGCTTTGGGTAAAATTGATAAATTGATTGTAATCATGCTGCGGCTAAACTGTGAACATAGTTTGTTGAACTGAATAATCTCATTAGAGTCTTGTGAGGAAATGAATAATATTAGAAGCCAAAAAAAAAAATTTTTTTTTAAAAATATTTGGGAAAATTTTCCATAAGCCTAAGAGTCCAATAGTGATACTTGGATTGAAGTTTTTCTTTTTCATTGCCCCCAGCTAAATTTGCTGCTCCCCTCAATCTCTTATGTTAAGCAATTGTACCAAACTAATGCCATAAGAAGTATGAATTTTTTTATAGGTCATCTTGATTATTAAACTCATAAATATTGAAATTTCTCCTATTCATTTTTATGCGTGTTTGTTAAATTGTTTTTGGTATATGAAATTAATCTTGGTCCCTGATACTTCCTTTGTTTGTTTTTTATTTTTAAAAAACGGTGATAAGCTAAAGATTGGCCAATGTTTGTTATGTTCAATATGATAATAAGCTAAGGATGGGCCAATTTTTGAAATGCAAAAATTTAATAAGCTAAAGATGGGCCAATATTAAATATTTTAAAATATTATGTTAAGCTAAGATAGGCCAATATTAAATATTTTAAAATCTTATAAGCTAAGATGGGCCAATATTAGATATTTGAAATCTGATTATCTAAAGATGATATTTTAAAATGTGATGATAAGCCTAAGATGGGCAAATATTTGTTATTTTAGAATATGATAGCTAAAGATGGGCCAATATTAGATATGATAAAATATGATAATCTAAAGATTGTCCAAATTTGATATGATAAAATATAACTTTAGCTTATAAGTTGGGCCAATATTTCATACATTTTTAAATATGATAAGCTAAATATAGGCCAATGTTTGCTGTGAATCGCTCTGAATGCAAGAGACTTGTTTCTGTCTTGAGATGACACATTACATTAATCTTGATGCAGGAGAACACTTGCCATTTATTGTAAAAGATGTTTTCTTATAAAGTTAAGATATGTGATTTCATGGCCAGTCTCATATTTATGAAAATGTTTATTTGTAGAATGTTTAATCAGCCATGCCTGTGGGAAATCTCTGTTCAGAGTGGCTGAAGCTTCTATAACATAAAAGTTTCCACTTTTTTTATTGTTGAATAACTTGTAGCTGAGTAAGAACTATCACTTGCCTTTCTGTAAAAAAAAATTACCTACTGTACATAATATGTATTACTTACTGTACATAATATGTATTACTTACTGTACATAATATGCATTACTTACTGTACACAATATGTTCTGTACAAACAATAGAAGCGTCTTTTTGTGTCCTGTTAAAAATTACAAAAGCACACTGTAATCTATCACACGTGACTGACATGACAAACATGTCTTATCCATTGATTGTAAATGATCAGTTTAGCTTCCTCTTCATTTCAATACTGATGACATGTTGACTTTAATACTGATGACATGTTGACTTTAATACTGATGACATGTTGACTTTAATACTGATGACATGTTGACTTTAATACTGATGACATGTTGACTTTAATACTGATGACATGTTGACTTTAATACTGATGACATGTTGACTTTAATACTGATGACATGTTGACTTTAATACTGATGACATGTTGACTTTAATACTGATGACATGTTGACTTTAATACTGATGACATGTTGACTTTAATACTGATGACATGTTGACTTTAATACTGATGACATGTTGACTTTAATACTGATGACATGTTGACTTTATTCTTGGAAAACATGTTTAGTGCATTGGATCAACACATGTTTGTTTGTTTTTTTTAACATTGAAATTTCTTTGTGAATAGCATGACTGATTTTCATTATGATACATTTTCTGACACCTCTGTTGAGCTGCAAATGTAACCAATTACTGTGTTTAAAAAAAATCTTGAGGTGTCTGCAGTTAACCAATATGTAACAGTTCTTTTATAAGTGAGCTATTTTTAGGCTGAATTACTGTGATTTTTTTTTTTGATTTTTTTTTGATTTTTTTTTGGAATTTATGAATATTGTTGCTGAACAATTATTATTAAAGACGTTTTAGACAATTTTACATTGAAATGTGTGCGTCTTTTTTTAAAGTGTTACATGGATTGATAATTTCGAGGATGACAACATCAAGAATGTCCCCCCCAGTTTACTGGGCTGGGTGTAGGTGGATCAAGTTACACCCCCCCCCCCCAAATTTACCCCCCCCCCCCCGTCTGTGGACTGGGTGAGAGTGGGTAATGTGGGGCTAAAGACAAACGGAAAAGAAGACCAGTGGGACGGGTGGGTAAAATGAAACCAAATGAGCTGACAGGGGGCGGAGAACCCAAAATAATAAAAATAGAATAAAGGTTGCCCTTTTTTTTTTGTTTCGTGATGTGGGTCTCAAACTTCGAGCCGCGAGCCAGGTAGAGGTGATGTGGTAGCCCCAGGTACAGGCGCCGACGTAGCCCCAGGAACTGAAGCTGTGCTAACCCCAGGGACAGTGAAAGCCAATGGTACAAGTGTTGCGTACAGATTCTGGGGACGGCGCTGCGCCATTTTCTGTTGAAGTAGTTGTCACCGGCGGGCCAGACGCAGGTGATGGTGTAGAAGTAGCTGGTGACGATGTGGAGGCCCCAGGTGTAAACGAGGCTGGACTGGCGTGGTCATCTTAGGCATCACTTTGAGATAGCACTGCTCTCCCAAAGGACAGCTGTCACTGCTTTGTTTTGTGGATACAATAAATTAAGCATTAACCAAAAGTTAACAAAAACTTACAAATTAGGTAATGATCAAAACAGATGATTGGATTTTGGGAATTTTTTTTTGATCGTTAAGAAGCATCAGTTTGTCCGGTAAAAATTAAAACTAGCTGCGTCATTCTTTCTCTATTTTTGAAAAAAAATCCTGCACAGAATTAAAGCTATGCATTAGCCCCCCCCCTCCCCCCTGATTTTGCAGGTTTTATTTAAATTGCTATGTAGGCTACTGTGGCGCCTCCAGTAAGAAACAACTTAACAAACCGACCAAGTTTTGGTCCAACCGAAAAAAAAACCTGAAATGACGCCCCTGTCTTTAAGCCACAGTAAGGTGAACACAATTTTCTTTTTTGAGACTTCAACAGCCTACTCACCTCTTGGTACTCGAGCAGGGTTTTTTTCAGCTATATCTCCGGGTAGGGGGGGGGGAAGCTAAGTGCCCCCCCCCCCCGAGTCAAAATATGTCCAACAAAAAAACACAAAACACCCCCCCCCCCAAAAAACTGAAGTGCACCCCCCCCCCCCCCGGGAAAGTTTCTGAAAGAAACACTGTACTCGAGTTCAGGTGACGTGTAAGAGCACATCATTTTAAGATCAGCTGTACAAATTAGTAGTTAACAACAAAAATAAATGTGACATATTTGAGCTGAGTTTTTCCTCCCATCCTGGAATATTCAGTCATGTGATGAAAGTGTTTCTGTAATACTTATTACACACACATATTAAATCCCAAGCGAGAATCAAACCACGATCCAAATGAGCCGCCTCTTACTTCCATACTGATATTTATTCTAAAAGAAATATTAATAAAGACTTAAAATAAAGTAACCAAGAAAAAAATATGTCATTTTTTTTGTCTTAATTAAAAAAATTTTTTTTTTTTTTTTTTTTATTTTTTTTTTTGGCTTTTCCCCCCTGGCTTTCCCTCCTGTGGGCCCCCCCCCCCCCTCCTCACCGTCCATTGATTCATTGATGCCACCCTTTTCTCTTTGAGTTTGGCGACTTTAGTGTAACAAGTCATGCGTATTCAATTAGTATTGGTAACATATTAATTAAAAATGCGAATTATCCAATGTCACAGGGGAAGTTACTTTAATTATTTACTAATATTACTGTGTTATCCTTATGATACTATGACTACGGCTATTTGCAGTAAACTACCAATAGCTGCTAGAAAGCTAGTGGTACTCTACTACCAGTAACTTCTCGGAGGCGGTTCAAAACTTCTAATTTGTAAGTAAAGATTGATGTAGTCTAGTATTGACTAAGTTGGTAGTCACAGTATTTTTTAAAATTACACAACCTCCTGTCACTGACTGAGTATAGACCAGTACACTCTTAGTCTTAGTGTCTTAGTCATAGTTCCGAAGCCAAATCCTAGGGACTCGGGAACAAACTCAAAGGTTAGATCTACTTAGTTTAGAGTTAGAGTTCTATCTTAATATAAAAGTGTTTCCCCCCCACCTCCCTTAAACACCTATTGACAGTGGCGAAACTAATCAGTAATTATTGATAACTTTGTTGGTTCAATATATGAAATGCTTGTGATAAAATCACACTGCTGTATTTTTTCAGATTTGCACTTTTGACTTCTAGGTGTGTGTGTGTGTTTATTTTTGGGGGGTAGTGGGCAATTCAGGCATTTGATTTAGGCTTAGACTTAAGGGAAAATTGCATCTATCACTGATGTTAACAGCCCAACTTCATAAACTAAATTCATTTCTGTTTGGAGCATATGGCGTCTACTTTTAGCCTCGGCTTAGATTCACCCCTGGAATCTATGATTATGTACTTCAACTATATATTAATAAATAATATATTAACCCTTATAACTTGTAAAGGTCAAGCCATCCAGTACAAATTAATGCATGGCCAACCTATTTATTTTGTATGCTAAGACTAAGAAAATCAGTAAATGTTTTTTTTCTTTTCTTCATTGCACAAAAAATATTGCTGCTCTGGTGTCTTCATTCAGCTGCAAGATATATTGTAGCGCAATTTTAGAAAATTCTATGATTTTAAAAAATAATAAAGAGATGTCAAAACACTGGACACTGTAAAAGTCTTTATCTTCTTACAACCTTATTTTTGTAAATATATAATGTATTATTTTTGGGTGGCCTCTACAGGAATACAGTTTCTTCCTGAAGTCAGTTGAAATTGATGTTAAGATATAAACACAGAATATGAGCCTTGAAGTGGAGTCTTGACTAGATGTTTTAAAGTTAAACATCATGGTAAGTGGTATGTATTATTTTCTTTTTATTAACCTTTGAACCATGCCAGATTTTAATTGGTTGAGTGTGCTAATAACTGGTATATTTTGGTGTGCTTACATTTAGCGAATATAAGGACTATCAACTATTTATATTTTAATGCTATAATTTAAAAGTTTCAGAAAATTATCTGTATGACTCTTGGGATATCAAAATGTATTTAAAATTATTTGTCAATTCATTAGTTTCATTCATTAAACATTTTATATTACTGATCATATGAATCTAGAAGATATTTATACATTGAATATGTTATGTACAAAAATAAAATAAAAATTAATTACCTGTATTCTTTTTGGCCAAATCATTGACTCAACTATGGGAACAGTTGTCTATCACAAATTATTGGGACAAAATTAAAACATAATGCCTTCTTATT